TTGATACTTGAAGCACATTAGATATTTGACTCTTAATTGTCATTGGAGCTTGACTGCATATATGTTCCTAAACTTTTGTCTTGGACAGTGTGCTTTTACAACTGGGCATTGTAAGTGGACTTTGTAATGGGTTGGAAAATTAACATAGCTCCCAAATAATGAATCTAATCAGAAGCTTTTCCAATGTCTTCTGGAAATAGACAGTTCTGTCATCTCTGCTTTCATCAGTCTTCAGGGAACTTGAATTTGGCTAGATACCAGGGTCTAGTGGAAAGAAGGCACATTTAGGAGAGATATAGTTACCTGAGGTGCTTCAGTGGCCTGATGGATCACTGTGTGTGCTGCAAAGCCAAAAGTCAATCTTTCTGTGTGATCTACTGCCCAAGGTTGTCTTCCATCCCAGGGATTTATGTCATCAGCCCTTCAGACCTCTCTTCATTCTGGCAGTTCTATAGTTCAGGGCAGCTGGTCCTGGGGAGTGCCATCCAGTCAGAACTACTGCAGAGGCCATTGTGCCCTGTCTTACCACTGGAAGGAAGTTCTTGAATCCCCCAGCTGGCTCCGTTTATCTGTTTACCTGCTAGCACTGTCCAGAAGGGGGCAGGGCATGTGTGAGCATAAAGAAACTTCTTTTGGCCATACCACATCTGGGAGCAAGAAATGATCCTCTACCCAGTATCCTTCACTTCCTCAAGCACTGACTGGGGTTGTGGTCATGAATTTTAATTGGCCACATGCAAAAATACTGAGCAAATGATGGGTTTTGAGCCCTGTCATATTTTGTCCTCCCTACTAACCTGAGGAAATGCCTACCTACAGAAAGCAAAACATCCTGAGAATATGAGCAATGGTAGCTGGTCTCATGGCAACATGTTGCCATTGAACCCTGGGCTAGGGACTACTGCACTAGGAAGACATGGAGTGCAGTGCAATGAAATAGCAGCAGTAGCAGATAAGCAGAAGGGACGAGGGAGTAAAGTAGGTGTCAGTGTCTATACAGAGGTAGATTAATGAAAAAGCATGTGTGTAGGGTCCTTAGACCAGTGTATTGCTAAGCCTGTGTGTGCGGGGACAGGGACAGCAATGACAGGGACTGGTGCTAATATTACCCTAGGTACTAAGAATGATGAGTCCCACTTCAAAAATGAGGCAAATTTGTTTAAAAATGAAACCATGAGGTTTGGCCCTCAGCAGCCAGAAATCACATTGTTTTCTTCTTGGTGGAAGCTGTCTCCCCCATCTCCCTATTATTTTGAGTGGGATCATCCCATGGTCAAAATTCAATCAGAAATTAAAAACGGAGAGCTGTAGCTCACCATCTGCTGCTTTGAGGAGACACTTCTGTTATTCTGCCTATCTCTGAGCCTTACTTGGTTAGACAGAATAGACAGCTGCCCTATTAGCATTCTCCCACCATACCATTCTGCAGTTTCCTGTTTCTAGCTATTTGCCAGCTGAATTTCTTTGGTTTTTTCCTTGGTCTCTCACCTGCTGCACTCTCTGTCAGTGCCACCCTAAATCCCATGCCAGACCCTCGGTCTGGCCAAGTTCCCTGACTCCTCATAGTTCCCTGTCTTGATTTCTAACTTCTTCCTCCACCCTGCTGCTCCCATAGTCTATTCTTTACCCTTACACATTTCCTGGTCTCTCCCTGACCAGCCCATCATAACAATCTTCACTGAGAACAGCCCAGTTTCAGCTCCAACTGGAGGCAAAGGGAGACAGTGGTCTTCTTTCATAAGTGCAGTAGGGTTTGTTGTAGCCATGACAGTCCAGGAAATATGCAAGAAGCAAGGGTTTCTGGGTGATAACTTTTAGTGGACCAACTCTATAGTTGGGAGGGATGTTGGACAAATTTTTGGGTACAAAGCTTTCTTTTTTGTGACCCAGACCAGAGGAAAGGCATTTTGCACCTGAAAGCTTGTTGAAGACCTCTCCCCACTATAGTTGGTCCAATAAGAGATATCACCCCCCCAAAAACCCTTTATTCTTACATCTGTTAGAAGAGCAACTATGATTTAACTTACAAGGTATATCTACTTAGAAAATTTCAAATTTTGGTGGATAAAGAGATCAAACTTAAAAAAAAATCATAAAAAATAACCTTATTTTTTTCACCCAGCTATGGACCTAGCCAAAAAGTCCAGAGTTCAATATTTTTTCAGTGAAAATGGACATATGAAAATTATCCATAAAATGTTTCCCTACTTTTAACCATCCCAACTATAAAAAAGCACAGAAACGCGGTGCACATCTTGCTGAGGGGAGCTTGTTGCTTCAGTCCTGTTGATGGTATTATGGAGACAGTTACCCTTTTACATAAGGGCAAATCTTTATGAATTTGGAGTCAGAAATCAAAAACTAATAAGAACACTTAAATATATGAAATACTGCAAAAACACTGCTACATCACTAGAAATAGCAATATGGAATCTGTGTATGTTTTGTGGGGTAACAGCTGAATTCAGTGGGCAGCATCTGTGTGGGCTAGAGCTATTTACCGGGAGGGAGAATTTGTACTCAGAGTACTTGGCTTCTTTAGCACAGGCTCAATAGCACGGGGTATACATGGCAATTCCTTTACCACTGAGTTGGTGAGTCTGTCCCCCAACAGTAAGCACTCTAAGGCAATGGTTCTCAACCTTTCTGGACTTGAGGCACCCCTCCATAACTTTTGTGAATTGAATGGCACCCAATTTCAGAAACTAATGTATATATTGCAGAACTTACCTCCTTATACAGGGGCTGAGCTTTAGGGGTTAGGGATTGTCCAGGCAGGGATAAACCTGAGCCTGGCTTATTTGCTTGTCTTATCTTATTGCCTCACACCTCATGGCACCCTTCAAAGGATCTGGCAGCACCCCAGAGTGGCCTGGCGCCCTGATTGAGAATCACTGATTTAAGGCCTAGTTTAGATTGTTGATTTGCTCCAATTGGAGCCACTGGTGTGATAATGCTGGTACAACCCCTTTTGTTAGCAGACAAAGCAACAAGGCAGACATTTCTACTGCCTTTAGTTCATCTCAGTGGCAGCTTTCTATCCATTTAAGTGGCAATTTTGGCACTTACATACAGATAGTGATTCTATTTCACCTGCAACATGGACATGTAATTGTGTGCATGTAGACTGAGTGGGTATTTATGTGCGTATTGTAGATGTATACCTGCATCTAAGCCCTGAAAATGTAGGATGCCAGAAATACTTGACTAGCAGATGGAGGAAGAATGCCCTCCTGTGTTTTCATCCCAAGACTTGAGTGTTTAGAGCACTTACACAGGATGTTAGAGACCTGAATTCTATGTCCCCTTGCCCAGAAGGTGTTTAAAGTTGGCGCTCTCTGACTTCCTAGCACAGCACTCTAACCACCATGCCACAGTATGTAGTCCTGCCTTCAGCACTCTTTTGAAACTGGCAGCCAAAAGAAGAAGCTATGCAAGGCCATGAAAAAGAGAACAAGGTGTGTGGCTAAGTGAATGACTGCTGGCTCTGGGATTCTAGCTTGAACCCTTAATCCCAATGGTGTAACTTCCCCATTGTGCTGCCCTTCAATGCAAAAGACACCGGCTCAGCTTCAAAAGCAACTCTGGAGAGCAGTTGGGACAATGAGTTGATGCTTAGAGCACTGTGCTGGGCAGTTAAAGGGTGAGTCTACACATACTATTAGTGCACATGAATAAACTCTGGAGCTTATTGCTTTGGAGTTTTTTGCTCCTGGGTGAACTATTTAAACATGCACCTAGGAACAATTAACTCCAAAGCAATCAGCTCTGGCGTTTATTCATGCACAGCATGTGGAGCCTGGTCAGAGCAGCCTCAGCTGGCAGAGAACCTGGGAAGCGGGGGTGGGGGTCAGCCTGCCAGCCCAGGGCTGCTCCAACTGGGCTCAATATGCTATGGAATGGATAGCTGGGAAATTAGGGTGCTTCAGCATAGGGCTAGATGACAGGCAGCTCCCACACTGAAGCAGCCTTGTGCTTGAGCCAGCCAGGTCAGCATTTACATGTGCGCTGCAATGCACAAAAAAATGCTGTAGCAGGTATTACTCTGCTATAGAATTTATTAGTTTCCTGTGCCCTAATAGGGGCCCATGTGTAAATGCTGAGACATTTATTGTGGAGCTAATTAGTCAGCTCTGCAGTAAATGTCTCATTTAGACACACCCAGAAAGATGCAGATTAAACCCCTTGTGGGCAAGAGTGGCCTAAAATTCAGATCTCTGGTTTCACAGGGGATTGCCTTCATCCCTCAGGTTTTGGGGATAAAACCAGAGACACCTCTTCTCCTACCACCACCTGGTCACTTTTCATGGACTCACAGCGTTCTCAGTCTATGCATACAGGCTTGCATGGCCACCATGTAAAGAAAGGGTAATAAAGGACCAGGGAGATGGACAGAAATGTACAATGGAAAATAGAATTCGGTTGCACCTGCTGTGTTGGAATCTATTACTCGGTCAAGCAGGGATAAACTCCAATGGTGCCAGTAGCTGGAATTTAACCTGCCTTCACCTTGAGTTGCACTGGCATAGTAATGGCTGTAATTGGTGAAGAAAATTCCTAATTCAATGTATTCAAATGTATACAAATAAAAGGTGGAGTGTTGGCATTTTTCCTGAAGATCCTAGAAGAAATGAGAGGCCAGCTAAGGGATTTCCATAACTGCCCCAAGAATCTCTTCTTTACCCCAGGGATCAGTCTGATCTTCCCCAGAGAATACTCTCTTCATCTCTGTAACCCAACTCTCACATATTTCCTAAGTTTCCTGGATCGCTAGTTTACACATATTTCCCCTAGACAGTATGACATAGAGGACCACAGTGCAGGTAGAAGAGAAGACCTGAGCCAGTAATTTTAATGGGAGCAAGATTAGGCTTACAGACTATAATGTTTCTTTTTTACAGATTCTCTTTCTGATTCTACAGGAATCTATGCAGACTTGTAAAATAATATGCAAATTGATACAGCATTCATTCATTCATATAGATGTTTTCAAAATTTACCTTGGCTCTCTCCAGGCTTCTCCTTTGTTCATGGAATGCAGATGGACTTTTTAGTGCTGCAATAGGAAACAGAAGCACAATCAGCACAGCAGTGGTAGCAAGCAGCCACTGGAATATTCAAAAACAACATTTTAATGGATGGTATAAAAATAGCAACACAAACTAGCTGATCTCTTTATTGTGCTATCTAAAAATAATTCAGGAAAGCTATTGGAAATCCCAGTCTCTCGCAGCCAGTTTGTGGCAGGAGAGCAGAAGGGATGGTGAGCAAAGGGCGAGCAAAAGACACATGGACAGGTGTAGGCTTTGCAGCTCAGTGTTCTACAGGATACGTCATAATCCAGGTGAATCCAGGTGCAGCTTTTACCTGGAGAGCTTTTTGCAAATTACAGTGCCATGAAATGCTGCCTGAGAACAAAGTGGAGAGTGGGGAAGAGGAAACAAGGGATCAGTATCCAGGAGAGAAAGGAGACCTTGCTGAGAACTTGCCAGGAGGTCAGAGCCTGTGGATGATCCACACTGTGAAGCCTCTAGGGTAAGGAGGCTCAAGCAAGAAAGGGGAACCTAAGAAAAGGATCTTATTACTCTTCAGTTAGAATGCAGCAAGAGCAGCCTCACTGGCACCTGTATAGTCAGGACAGAATTTGGAGGGTTTTATTATCTGTTCTTTGCCCCACATGCTCCTCTCACTGAGTACCATCATCCTTTCTGTTTGCAAACTAACTCTCCTTCACCTCTCCAACTCCTATTCTATGAGCAACACAGCTTTGGTTCTGCACCTCGGCAGTTCTCCACTGTGTTTTACTGAGAAATGTATTTTATTCAGCCCAGTGGGGTATATGAACAGTGTTGATGACACACTGTATAGAAAAACTTTGCATAAGGGGGCCATTGACTCAGCCTGGGCACCAAAGTCAGCAGGCTGCTCTGGTCACCACTTCCAAACACTTTGGCTTTCCCTAGAGAAGGCTTTCCAGGGAAAAGGGAATGGCTAGACTTTTTCACCCCCTTCAAAACATTATTTCTGTGCAAGGGTTGCCAATCTGGTTTCCAGTCATCTAGTGAAAATCCTTATGGCATCCTGTTGGGGCAACAGCTTTTGGAGTTGACAATTAGGGTCATTTGTGAGTTTGTTACATACAGATTCTGTAAAATACCAGTTAACAGTTAGTATCGGATTCAAGAGGCTTACTGAACAGAGCCTGTTTCCAATGTTGTTTGAAGCATCTAATGTTAATATTTGGACCTTTATTTTAAATTCAACTGAAATTTATTTCTGGCTGAAAATCATTGTTTCCAAGGTGCAGAAATAAAGGCTGTGGGAACAAAAAGCCCCACTTTGCTCCATGTGGCATTATTCTCATCTGATGGGTTTAAATGACAGTAGCAGTTAGAATCACTAGGATGAGTTTTTCAGGGTTCCCATTGAATTAGTTTTCGTGCTCAGAAGAGAAAACAGAATCAGGTAACATCTTGGATTCTGACACTAAATAGGGTGATAGTCACACATCTGTAGGAGCTGTTTTCTGCAAATATTAGGGTCTGTTTCATTTAACATCATTTAATTAACCTCCTTGCTTCTTGTCCCCCATTCGAAATGTAATTTAAAAAGGGACAGAAATTCAGTTTAGACAAGGCTCAAGAAAACAGGGGTCAGTCAAAAATTCCAACATGAAAGAGTAAAAAGGAAACTCAGGCAGAACAACTAGATGCCTATATGAAGTCTAGGGGAACACCTGGATCAGCTCTTGGAAGAAGCAAGAATCCAGTGGGGAAAAAAAACAGGATGAATCACAATAAAATTCAAGAGGCCAGAAGGCCTTTTCCTGTGTCTGACATTTGAAAAGTAGACAGACAGACAGACAAGGTAGCATTTCTGTGCCATGCTCTGGTGAGCAGCCAGGAAGAGTGGTGACAGCTGATTTAGTTAAAAGCAAATTAACAGAATGCAAATGAAAAAAATGAAATAAGCAACAGACATTACTTTTTATAGCCCAATTCACTAAAATGTTCTAATGTTACAAGGTTTCTGCGGGCAGGAACTGATCAGATCATACTTCATGCTACTCATGCTGAAAGTGTTGCAGTATTTAGTCATTTACCAAGGTTTTGGAGGAATTATGTGGATACTGCAGCTGGTATTAGTCTGCAAAACAAATAAAGGTATATCTAGCACCAGTTCTTCATATAAGATCTCAGGTAATTGTGGGATGAAATTTAACAACTCAGAAGTGCAGTGGCTTGGAGATGACTGAACAGAGCTGCTGGACTTGACATGCCAATTTTAGGACTATATTTTGCCTTTAAGTTTCAGCCTTGCGTGGGAGCATGAAGACTTCCTATATGTAGCAAGAGCCCCAGCATGACTTTGGCCAAAATTACTCCAGAGGCTCTCAAGAGTAAACTTTTGCAGGAGCAGCTCCACTGCCCTTTAAATAGATGCAGTAAGCCTCTAGCTGTACAGGCCATTGCAAGGAATACAGCTCCCCTAACCCTCTCTTCATGCCAGCCCAGAACTGGGCCTGCCTCGTAGACTTTGGGTGGGCCCTGCACAGGGCACCAAGAGAAGATCCTTGCTCTTTTCCCAGCTTGGTCTCCCACATCTAACAGATCACAATCTGTCCTTTGGGGATCATGAAACATACCCATTTAGGATACACAGGATTTTATGAATTAGGTTCTCCAGAAGGTTAATTTTCTCAGGAAATCAGTCCTTCCAAATTTTCATCAAGACCATAAAATTACATCTGGAAAAGAAGTTCAATAGTACCGGTATATCTTGTAGTATGCTCCTGCCATTTCATTCAGCCTGCTATACCTAGTAGAATGGGGCAGGCTATGGTCCCAGCTGCATTGGTATGATTGTGGAATTACTTCATGGACTTCATGAAGTCTGGTTCTCCCTTCATTTTCATGGGTTCCAGCACATACAACTCCATCAGTGGATTCCAGGGTAAAGTTGCTCAGAGGTTGTTCTTTCTTACTCATCTGTGCTTATTTTTAGCGTATTTGTAACCAATGCATCATTTTAGCAGAAGATCTGTTATTTTAACTGTATGAGAATAGCTGTATATGAAATCCTAGAAGCCCTTTTTGGAGCCTTGCAGCTCGGACAGCAATCTCAGTAAATTCAGTCTGTTTGAACACAAACTCTTTTTTCCCACTTGGTGTTGCTGTTTGTTTATCTGGGCAGTCCCAAAATGTTTTCCATTGAAGAGGCCAGAAGGAAGATGAAGCTTGAGCAAGTCTCCCACTAGCTAGTCCTCTCCCCTTTCCCCTTCCCCATATCTTCTTCACTGTGGGAGTCATTTATGAAGCTTTTATTTCTCTTCCATCCACAGCCTACCTGTGAGAGTGAGAGCAAGGCTGATTTTTACCTTTATTTCCCTAACTGCTTTAATCATTCCAGGTGGGACTAACCACAGATATTTTACAACACAAAATCGTTCTGACCATGTGGTGCATTCAGATAGCCCCAGGATGATTCTCTTTGGGCTTATGCCTGCTGCATGCTGAGCTGTCTCAGCTTCACGCATGCTGTATCATTGTTTGCAGTTTTTTCTTTAATGAGCTTTTAATAATGACTAGAAACAGTAGTAGTGGTCAGCACCTCCATGGGCTCTTGAGTACATTCATAGATCATGGATTTGCACAAAGAAAATACTTTCTAAAATGATTCTGCCCACTGATGTTCTATTACTATGAATACTGAACTATCTCTTGTTCTGTCCTCTGTGTAAAAATAAGTGGATCGGTTATATGGAGGGGGTCAAAATCTCTTTAATGGAATTATTTCAGCAGAAAATTTGGCCAAGTGATTTTAAAATATCCTGGTGGGAAATCCAGGACTATGTGCAGTCTTGGGATCAATTACATCATTAAGATCTGGTATAGCATGACCAGATTTGAAGCAGATTATACATTTGAAGCAGCTTTCTAACAGTACAGGGTAGCTCAATCATTTGAGGGTAGCTCAGTCAGTTTTAGTATTTTATTGGAGCTTAAATGTTAAAACCATTGTCCCTGAATTTATAGAACTACGATTTCTAATACACTATAGACACTGAGCATTATAGCAGCTCTACCTCATTCCATACTCACCTTCAGATAGCATATGGAATGAGGTTCCAGTCCATGTGTACCTTCAGGAACTCAACTTACATGGGCATACCAAGTCCCAGAAAATACAGGAAGATCATAATTAAACAAACTTTTATTGTTGGTACAACATAATTATGCATGCACAAAATATGC